CAAACCATGACATAGGTTTATGGCTGGATAGATTTTTCTATATTGCATTATGGTACCTCACTGCTGTTGTCAGAAGTTTGGCTTTTTATCGTGATGACAACGACTAGTACTGTGAAACTGTATGTATTTCAGAATTTATGTATCTTGAGAAGCATTTTACCATAAAATCTTCAAAATACTCAGTTGAGACTATGGGAGATCCTCACATTATATCATTATATCATACCCTAAAAGATAAGGGCCAGCACCCTTTTTTGGGGAGGCTCTTACAAGTTGGATATGGAGAGCTCAAAGAAACAACTAAGGAAAAGGAAACATGAAAACTAGACCATCTTCAGTTATGGGAAACCTTGCCAGCTTTCTCTTTGAGCAGGAAATGGTAAATCAAATCTTCCAGAAATCTGGAGTCAATTAAAAATGTGAATGAAGAGCTGCTATCTCCGCAGCATAAAATCTGTTGGTAATCACTGACTCACTGTCTTGTCTTCCTACATTCCAACCAAAAAAGTATGCTTAGAGTATTCTTATCTTCTTTTATTGGCAGTAGCATATATGTACTTGCCCATATTCTTTCCTAGAATGCATGCAGTTCTGTCCTCAGATACATTTCAGAAAGAGAAGTGTAAAATTACTCTGCTAGACTGAAGTGTTTTTGAAGAAAAATGCTTTTTATACCTCTGATGAAAAAAACCCAACCAAACACCTGAGTGGAAAATAATGCCTATAGCCTATAAACTATGTCTACTCTTGATGTTAGTAGGAATCTCCAAACCCTGTGTTCCTTGTGTCCCATAGGAAATCCTTCTTCAAATTCTTCTTTTTCAGTGTTTCAGAATGCTGTGAAGGTAGGGGAAAAATACTGGGAGCAAGCTATTGAAGGTTCATTATAAAGCCTCCACATAGAAGCAGATTATTTAGAATGTAACACATTATTTTGGAAATAAAAAGTATGCTCCAAATATATATTTGTTGTAATTCGATAGCTGAAACCTCGTTTAAAACTTGTTTCATACGGGACATAGACATAATGACTGTCTTGAAAAAATTGCTCTGTACTGTCTGAAAAAACTGATTTAGGGGGATTTCAGTTATAATTGTGTGAAATATAATCTCATATGCAATTTATGTGCTGTTTCTGCTTATCCCTGCATAACCATTTAAGAACATATTCCCTAATGTTCAGTTAACCGATGTGCAGATGGTTTGATGTATCCATAAGAAGTGAAAAAGAAAGCAAAAGTGAGAAAGAAATATGAACCTTCAGGAAAATAGCAAGAGTGTTGTAAAGCGAATTAAGGGTACTACTGTATGTATCTTCTTGCTCTTTGAGAATGTAGTTGCATTTATTTAGCAGGACCTTTAGCATCTTTGTTTGCAATTCTAGCATAATAATTAATTTTACTTTAAATTCTTTATTTAAGTCTTAAATCAGTGCTATTTTACAGCTTCTATAGTTGTTTATGTTTGCACACATTGAGTATATTCAGCATTGTGTTTTTCAGTTGCTCTTCACATGTGCAAATGACAACCAGATCCCTAGGGTAGCATAGATTAGTACAGAGGATCATTAACCTGACATGTACTACATAGGTGGATTTTATTCTAAATTACAGTAAATCAACATTTGGCTGTTGTCACAAGGTCACCTACACAGCCTGATTACAGCTGTAATTCTTAAAATAAAAGTTACATGAAATGTGAAAACTATAGAAATCTGATACAGCATTTTCCCTGGATAAAGACATTTTGGAATGATCTTGTAGAAGAGCTGCTATTGGAAGTCTTCCCTAGCAAATTAAGTGGCTTTTTGTAATCAGCATGCCTCAAGCCTAATTTCTTTTCATTCCTTCTATAAATGAGTTGTTATACATTGATACAGAATACTGCTATTACTATGTTAACTGCCTTATTTCTTCTAAAATTGTATGTGCAGCTTCAGTTGCAATTAAACCAAGATCTAGGCATCTTGCATCAAGATGATGGCTCATCGAAAAATAAAAGAGGAGTTCTTCCCAAGCACGCTACAAATGTGATGAGATCTTGGCTTTTTCAGCACATAGGGGTAAGAGCTGAACATGATCAGGAGTCACAGGTTTTTATGTAACTCTTTTATGTGGTCTCTTATGATTTTGCTTCATAAAGAAGGTGAATTTATTCTCTTGTAATTTGTGTAATCTCACTTCAGCTTTCCCTGAAGTCATTTGGAATAGCTCCACAGTCTAATGTTGGCTGATTTTTATTATCGTTTTAATAAGTATGTTACATTTGTACCTCGTGATCTCAATAAACATTGTTAAAAGGGATCTTTCTTCATTTCATTGTGTTGAGAACTTAATGCTCTCTACACCCTGGTTCATGGCACAAGGAAAAATAGTTCCATCTGTGTTTTGTGGGGGGTTTTTTGTAGAGGAGAATTTCAAATTTTCTGGCTTTATCTCCTTTCCAACAATCCTTCTAATGTGTAACAAGTGTGTTACTGTCTACTTGTGTGTTCAATAGAACGTCTTTCCTTTGCATAAATACTTATTGTGAAAGGATAAATGGGTCTCAAGTTATATCACAATGTTTAGTTGATTGATATTTTGTCTTTTACAGCCATTTTACAACAGACAAACAATACAGGGAAACTGCATGTACGTTTCTTATGTTATGTACACTCCCATCATCCGTTTCGTTCAGAGTAGCTTTATTTAACTAGAATATGCTTGTCAGTACTCTCATATGACATTGCCCTTAGACAGCATAACTAATCAGATCTTATCACATGCTGTGTTGCCCAGGGATCACGCTGTTTAATAAAGACTGTCAGCCATGGGAAGCTTTTTCTTCTGAATTACACATCAGCAGTTTAATGGTATCATATACACTTTCAAGGATACAATCAGTTTTGTGTAGTAAAGCACTCTTTCTTAAATGATTTTTATCTAAAAGTTTGTGAGGTTTCTAAAATTTGTTTTTTAACAAGTCAGATGGTCTTAATCTAGCAGCTTTAATCAGTTGTAATAAAGGAGTCCTTATTTTTGATGAGGAGATGAAACAAGCTTATGCCATTTTTGTTTGCTTTTTTTGTCCCGTTTAGCATCCATATCCAACAGAGGATGAGAAGAAACAGATTGCAGCACAAACAAATCTGACACTACTCCAGGTTAACAACTGGTAAGAGCAAAAACTTTTACTTAATGTGTATTGGTGTTTCCATGTGCTTACAACATAGAGAAACAGTTAAGAGTGTAACTTGGATACCTGGTGTTGAACTTACTGTTCTACATATGTTACAAAATATGTATAAAAGTAGAAGAATTATGCACTCATACACAAGCATATTATTTGTATAGTAAGGTGTAGTAATACTTGTGCCATTTAAATTACATAAGGACTCCAGGAAACTTTGCAACATCAAGGAATTACATGCTGTTCTATTGCTGAAAGAGGTGGAAGTACTCTTATGTCTCTTCTGCAAGTGAAGAAATTGAAGTTTAAAGGCATTTAGTGACCTGAAGCTCTGTAAAGTGTTCTCTGGTAATCATGGTTGCAAATGTTTAAGAAGTTACTGTCAACAGATATTCATTCTACTCTTGTATCAAAGGATGCTATCCCCTGAGCAATGATGTCCGAATGGAAAGTGTCAGTACCTCAACTACTCTAGTTCATGGCTCAACATGTTTTAACATGTAATATCTTTTAAGATAATACGCCTGCCCCTGCAGAAGAGGAGTGAGGGTGCTGTCGTGCATACTATTCTGCTTGTGGTATTGGTTCCTAAAATTATTGCAGCTAAGTCCCAACAGGGATCTTCCTCAGATTTCAAAGATGACACTGGCTGCATGGCTGCAGAGGGGTCTGGTGGGGAAATACTCAAGTTAGTGGCAGTACACCGTTTCCAAAAGTGGAACAGTGTAACGATGCCTGTGTGACACAATAGTAACGGAGCTTTATGGTACGGGAATCCAACTAATGTCTCTGCAAAGCATTGCTTTACACCATATGGACCTGCCAGCTGCACCCTACTTCCTTCCACTGCAGGTAAAGATGGGTCCTGGATGTGTTTTGTCAGATTCAGCAAGGGATGCTGTCTTCAGTCACAGCTCCTTGTCGCAGCTAGCTGTGCTGGAATTGATTCAGTTAACTGCTGGTAGCTAAGTGAGAAGTGACACCATTATTTTCCTGTTCACTAACAGAAAAGGGAAGGGCAGCGATTAGCATACTAAAGTAAACAAGTGAAAATCAGGGAATGAAAAGGAATTGGGAAAGATCTGAAAAACGTGTTTGCTGTTGTCTCCTAGAGCAGGAAGCAGACCTTGGAAAGCCAGGGAGCCTATAAAAATCAGTAATGTGGGAGCTTAAGGAACGAAATGGAACCAGACTGAACAAACTAGGTTAGGCAGGGGCTAGACTTTAGGTGAACCCTAATGAGAGGAGTATCAGCTTTCTGAGCTGTGCTGTCAGCAAGTTTTCTGGTGCTTAGTTTTATAAGAAGATCTTGAAATGTACATCTGTCATGCTGTCTGGAGAATTCCCCCCTCTGAGGTATGGGAAAAAATGCTGCTAGCGCCAAAATGATAGAAGTACTTTCTTAGCTAGTTTGCCAAAATCAAAGGATGACAGTGTTCTAGGAGCGATTGTAAACATTAAAAAATAATGTCAAGACAGGCTGGTAGGGAGAAGATTTTATATTCCTCCCCAATGCGTACTTTGTAAATCTGAGAGAGAATTTACAATCGATTAGTCATAAGTACTTCTTGCCTTTTGATTGTATTTAGGTTTATCAATGCTAGAAGGCGAATTCTTCAGCCAATGCTGGATTCCAGTTGTTCTGAAACTCCAAAAACAAAGAAGAAAACAGCTCAGAACCGACCGGTTCAGAGGTTCTGGCCTGACTCCATTGCCTCAGGAGTTGCTCAGCAGCAATCTAACGAGCTCACGATGTCAGATGGTAAGGAGAGCTGACTAAACCACAGATAGTAATGTTCATTTTTCTGTAACAGGGAAATGAAGGGTTTGATACCTTTAGTGGGAGGGGAACTTGTTGATATTTCCATATAAATGTGGTTTTAATCTGGAAAAACGTAAGAGAAATGTGCCAATTTTTCCCTCTTTAAAAATTTTCTGTGTTTTGAGGGCAGTGTTTTATTGGAATTTATGTTGAGAGACACTTGCTTTTGTTTCAAAAGTTATGAAACAACAGAACAAAGGTTAGATGTGCAACTAATTTCTCAGTATGTGTATGCACATCAGTAGCATTCTGTTTGATTAGCAGGATGGCACTGGAATTTCAGTTTCATGACTCCCCATCCTGTTCACATTCCTTTCACTACTGCTGGAGGGACTGAGCATCTGCAAGTCTACTTATGCCTCATGTGTTTCAAGTTGAACATTGAGAAGCAGAGAAATGTAATAGAGCCTCTAAAGGCTTTGACCGAAGTAACTTCCTTAGCATCAGATCAAACAAATTTAAGATCAATAACTCCTTTAATCTCAGGACCATCCTTTCTGTCCTGCCACCTGCTGCTTTATTCCTTTCCAGTTTGTAGCAACTTTTCGCTCAGCCTCCACTGGATCTGACAACAGCTTCATCCATTTAAGTCACCTTGAATCTCTGTGAACACTCCCATTTTTCTGCAATGAATTAAGCTGGAATACTTTGCAGAAATGGTCTTGCAATGACTTGGTTGGAGAATTGCTGTAATGGGTGTCCATAACACAGCTAAGTTTAAGGTTCCTGGCCAACTTAATTCTGGTGTTTCCTGATACTTAAGTGTTTGACAATCTATATAGCTTTTATTTTAATTTAGTTTCTTAGGTTTTCTTTGTGTTGATTAGAAACAAACTCTGTTATATATAAATATGTATTACTTAGAAACCAAGGAAGATGCTAAAGTACTACAATTGTGCTTCTCCAGGTGCTGTTGTAACAATTACAGCTCCAGTCAACATGAATGTAGACAGTCTCCAGTCTTTGTCATCCGATGGTGCTACTTTGGCTGTTCAGCAAGTTATGATGGCAGGACAAAGTGAGGATGAGTCTGTAGACAGCGGTGAAGATGATGGAGGAGATCTCTCGACAACAAATATCAGTGGGCTGGTCTTGGATAACAGCGATTCTCTGCAGTAGGAAGCAAGAGAGTGTGACAAAATGTTTAGGAAAAAGAATGGACTGACTGACTGTTTTTATAGTTTGCACAGCAAACATTTTACACAAGTTTTATTTCTAATATGTTTTATATGTAGATATAGAAGGGTGCACTTTTTTGTATTTCATAGTAAGCTTAAAGAGTGTTTTTGCAGGTGCAGCAACTTCTTTCAAATGTGTTTTCCAATTTCTTTTCTTATTTCAGAAAATTATATCTAGTAATATAAAGAACCACATAAGCACCCCTTTGTTCTATGAATTGGAAGTGCTGCGATTTCTAAAGAATTATGCAGTTTCAATTAATGCTGTTATTTAAGACAGCTCTTGATGGGCAGGTGATGTAAATTTAAAGCATGTGACACTAGTGTGTGGAACTTGATCATTAATTTAGATGCATATATTTGAAAGATGCTTCTGCACCTTAAAAACTGCTAGTCTGAGGTGGACAGCAACACACATAAAAGGAAACTGTTGATGTGTGATTCAGTAGCGAATGTATGGCAATTTAAATACGTTTAGTTTCTCTCATAGTCCGTGAGCCTGTTTATCATTTGCTATAAAAACTCCTATTTTTACCTTGCCGGGGTTATTGGATAAAAAAATATTTTTATAAATTCACTAGGAATTGGGATGACGACTGTATTAAGCAGGAGGAAAAAAAAAAAAAAACCACAGAATTTCCAGAGGGGAAAAATAAATGTTTAGTATTCCTATTTGGAAGGTCTGAAAACTGACCCAATTTAATAAACAAGCCTATGCTAGCATTCTGTGATTCTCAGCTATCCCACAGTGATATACTATATTTGATAATAGCATAAGAAGGGCCCACTGTTTGATGGGATTTTGATATTGTCAACCATTGATTTATACTATGTGTAAACTAATATTCAAATTACATTAACTCTGTATCTAGACTTGTATCTGAAAATATTTGCTAAATGAGTATTCAGGTAAGTAAATTCGAATACCCACAACTTTTCCAGTTACTAGAGAAATTTAACAGTTTATAGTTTGTACAACTGAGTTTGAAAAATGAAAAGTTGCCTACTATACAGTCATGAATTCTGCTATCACTCTGTTGTTTTATTGAATTTGAAATATTTTCCCCGATACAAAAAGAAGTATAACTTAATGGATTTATATAAAATTTCTTCAAATCTGAAGGTCACTACCAGAATATACAGCAGGCTTTATTAGAGTAGAAAATCCTTGTGTGTCATTGAAAAGCTAAGAGCTAGTGATGAAAATGCCTTTTTTTTTTTTTTTTTTGTGGTAACAGTTAATTCCTTTTTTTCCCAAAGTTTGGAGTCTGTGTCTGTCTGTCCATGAACACTTATTTTTGGAACTTTGTATTTCCCCTTGTTAAGTACAAATAACAGACTCCAAGAGTCTCATGGTAGGATCAATGTCCTCTTTCCCCTCTGTTCATTTGTCACAATGTTGGGTGAGACGAAAGCCAGAACTTTTTTCTGATTTAGACCAAATCTAGTTGCGTTTTTAATGTGACAGGGAAAAAGACATTAGCTTTTGGAATCTTTAGACATTGTATTTGAACAAAGCCCTTTGACAAATTCACATATTTACTTGAAGACTTCATTTCTGCTTCACAAAACACTCACACGTGTGCTTAGGTCCCATTGATTTCAGGATTAACGCATGTACTTTCTGACCTGCTTAAATGGTTGGAAGCTGGTCTTTAAAGATTGTCTTCCAAGGCAACTGTAAGTTGGTATGAAGAAAAACTTCAGAAAGAAATGTCAGTAGCATTGGCATACGTATTGGAGAATAAGACTAGTTTTCAGTGACTAGTAGCTGTTTTGAAAAATTGGTGTTGGCTTTTACTCAACACAAGTGATGTTTCTGCTATGGCTTTTGCTTTTTCCTGGCTGAGAATCTTGCTTCTTAGTTCAAATGCTGTAATCTACTCCAGCTGGAGTGGTAACTTCTAAAGAATTTGTTTTCTTCTTCTAACTTCTCTGCTTTGCCACTAATGTGCCATGTTTGTTAAAAAGCATAGTAAATGAATAATGAAAGATTTAATTAAGAAGGCTTTGACATAGCATAACTATCTCAAATGCTATTGTCAAATACAGTTTGACCCCAAAACGTTGAAAAAGACAGCTATCGTGTACAAATCATGCTCCTTTGGAAACATTCAACCTACTGCTCGAGATGACTAGAACCAAGAGACAGATTCTATCTCTTTCTTTTTAGTTGTTTTTGATTTAACTCCGTAAGCGCCTCATCACCCCCACAGTTTCCATTATGTAGTATGTTATATTTGTTGGTTTGTTTGGAGGTTTTTATTTAGCTACCCTCGTTCATATTTAATAGTGTGTTAATCCTTGTACTTCTAGCACGTAGGCAGGTGAATAGTCTACTTCGCAGTGTCTACAGGCCTATGGACAAATACGTCCTTTTCCAAATCAGCCAATGTTGGAGGAACAGGCCATTTCTCATGATCTCCTTGCCCTCCTTGACCAGTTGACGCTGTCTCAGATCTACCAGCTGAGCTTTCCCCAGCCTACTTCAAGGTGGCCTGGGAAGCAGCTCAGCCAGCAGATCTATTGGGGTAGCGAGTAGCCAGCAATGAAAGGAAGGATCAACCAAAATGGGCAAAACTTCTGTGGTTTGGAGATAATGTGGCAATGGGTGTTTGCCCACACTTCAAAACTATGAGAACTGAGATCTTAGGGTATTAAAACAATTTAGTATCTCTACAGCTGGCTGGAAGAGGGTTCAGGGGTATGTAGTTTGTGCCTATGAGAATTGAGATCTTAGAGAGGGTATTAAAACAATTTAGTATCTCTACAGCTGGCTGGAAGAGGGTTCAGGGGTATGTAGTTTGTGCCACTTGGAACTCAGTTGGAAACAGACAGACATCAGGGTTTGCAAACTTCTGAAAGTTTATTTTTCAGAAAGAAACCGTTATCTTGTTAGCTTTTTTTATCCCCCCCTCTTACATGCAGCAGCAGTTTTATTCTTTTGAAACATTTAGGACCTTGTCTTCAGCTAGTTTATCAATACCTGGAAAGTGAAGTTGACGGGATTTACTGTGAAAGGGGGAATATGGAATAGTCTTACTGTCAAATTAGAAACGTAAAAACATAGGAACATGAATTCCCCAAACTGAAAAGGCTTTATCGATGTAATCGAAGGTACTGCTTAACATTTGGAACTCAAACCTTGTCTTTTAATTCAGTGATAATTCTGTAGTGGGTATGAACTGCACAGAAGTGCTTGTTGTTTTCATGAGTGTGGTGGGGTTTTTTGTTGTTGGTTTTTTTTTTTTAAAAAGTGTTCTTCATTTTTTGCGGTGTAAGAAACATTGCTGGTTTAAGCAAAGCATCACTATTCAGGAAAGGTACGTGTTTACATGAGTTAAAAAGTCTTTATAGGGGACCTAACTTTAAGTCCATTTATAATTCCCCTCTCCTGCCCCCAATTAAAGTCATATTGATATGCAATACAACTAATTTTTTTTTAAAATCAGTGTAATTCTTCTGCAATTATGATTATTGAAACTTCTGAATGTTTTTCAACATAGTCTAGATCATTAACCCAAAACAGAGTTCTCAGTCCAGTTTTTCCAAGGTTTCTGTAACAGACAAGGCAATTTCCTGTTGTTCTTTAACTTTAGAACCATTGCATTTTAGTAAATCAATTCCAAGTTGATCAGGATATATATTTAAATGGCTGTTCCAAAGAAATAATCATGTTGGAAAACATTTAGAATCAACAGACATGGCTCTGGCTCTTGCAGAGAGTTTCCTAGATCTGGATGTTGGGTCAAAGGGGAGTCCTGCTGACCTCAGGGAAACTGTGAGGCTGGATGTCGGGCTGCTTTTGCCTGCGAGAGAATCGGTTCCTTGTTCTGGTCCCTGGTCACTGTTAGGAACCTTTTGGAGAGCCCTCCAACTTGATCCTGCCTGCATACCTGGGCTTTCTTCCAGTGGAAACCAGAGTATGGACGAAGGGCTTAGAAAGGCAGAAATTCATGTTGAGCTGGTGTGCTCCACGTTATCGTTTTGATGTTCAAAACATGGCCCAAAGGCGGACCTACGCTGAGGAATTAGAGTTCCCAGTTCCTGGGCTTTAAAAGTAGCTTCAGGTTAATGGATATTCTGGTGGAGTAGGGCCACAAAGACTTACTGCATGAATAATGTATCTCTTTGTTTCTGGAAGATTTAGAAGGCAGTTCAGCTTCCTGACTTTGTGAACTTGACAGCTCAAAGGGTGAAACAAAGCCTTTCCAAGGGATGATAGCTTCATAAAACCATTAGACTTGTAGCACTTAAAGAAAAAAACCCTGGTATTTTGAAAAATTGCAACACATGCATTTAATTGCAATAAAGATTGATTTAAGATTTATTTTCTGAAGCTGAGTCTTGGGAGGAAAAAAAATGAGTAAGTATTTGTCTATGCAAGACACAAATGTCAAAAATGTGTGAATTACCCATTTTCAGGTGCTGTATTGTTATTGTCTTTCTGACTTCTGTTACTTTGATTAGTCTTTTAAACCTTTCAGCCTTATATTCAGCTTAGTTTTTAGAGTTGAATAGGCAAAATGTAGTTTTGAAATCCTGTTGGAAATGTAACTAACCTTCATTCCCTCATGAAAATCTCGCATGTTAATCAATTAAGTGAAATGTTTTGGTTTCCTAAAAATAAATTCAAACTCTCACCGCCTCCTAAAAACAGAGCATATCAATGAAAATGCACGTTTAATAGTAGTGTGCAGATGGTCAAATCGTCAGCCTTGTGCTGAATACACGTTGCTCTTTACTGTTCAGCGTAGCCGAACAGTAAAGCAGGTTTCACGTTGCCAAACTCAAACTCAGTGTGGGTTCCTTCCCCCCTCTCCGTCCTTTTGGCTTGCTAAGCTCCTTCAAATAGGGTTTGGGTTGTTTAATTTTTTAAGTCCTAAAGTAACTTGATCATCCGGTGTAAACCGTAGTGAAATTGGCACTAATGGGCTTTTAAGTGATTGCTCAAATCACGTTCTTTGTTCATTCTTGTCACCTGGAAATATAAAATCTGTTCCTTTTCTGTAACTTAGTTCTTTAGGACCTGCTGAGTGATCACAGCTGGTTTTGCCAGAGAAAAGCAAGGTGCGAGAAAGCAGTGAAATGCCTTACCGACCTTGTAGGCTACTACAGATACTGACTTCATGTTAAATAGAATCCAGCGTTTTCAGGTCATGGCAGAAGCGGCCCATAAATCTTTCCATGGGTTAGCAACATTTGGTCTGTACAATCGACAATCTTTAAAATGTGAACCCTGTAACTCTTTTTTTTTCCTTGGTTGTTAAGGGATTTCGGAGCAACTGATCTATCAAAGGATAAAATTAAAAATGAAAATATGCTTCATGGATGATTTATTTTTACACTACTCGTCTCTGTGAACAGAAAAAGCACACTTTTAAAGCAAAGCATTTGCATTGCTTTTACAGTATTGTTTGGCTGAAAG